AGACGGCCTAACCGATGAGCAGGTTTGATATGTTGTACTTTTGTCTATGTTGTTTTTCAGAGTATGCATTTCGGTTTGAGAACATGCATATCTTTTAACAAAGTATGACTTTCGGTTAGGCGACAGACAGCATTACTGTAACATTTTCCTATGATCGTAAGTTGTTGTTGGGGGGTAGCTATAAAGGTGAAGCTTTAAGGGTGTTTTAGTTTATATACACGACTAATAGAAACTGGCACATAGCTTGAAGAGAGGAAACTGCAGTGTGTGCTAGTGGAGGGAATTCTTTTAGCTACTTGATAAAAGTGGAGTCCATGTTTGCTATTCCCCTTTTTGGATCATATCTACCACAATTTGCTTTTCTTTTCTTTGTCATGATATAACTTCTGTTTTGATGTAAATTGCTCAGGAAAACGTGTTGGCTGAATCAAGGATGATGATTCCTGACTGCCGCAAGCGTTTGGAGTCTGCTCTTACAGACCTTAAAGGCACTTTAGTAAGTCGTAATTTCGTAAAGTGAATAATGTTCTTCTGCTAGTGAAAATTCATGGTGTGCTGACAATTCTAACAATTTGTGAGTGTTGTGAATATTATGTCCATGCATTCGAAGGAATGAGATTAGGCATTTAGGACTTGAGATTTATAGTACATAACTATTTTGAGTACTTTGATTGTTCTAGTGTTTCACTTTTCGAATACATTCGTCAGCCAACTTGCCAGTACATTGTGTGTGGGAGAAGATCTGTAATGGAAAGAAAGTGTAGTTTGATTTTTAACATGTGTGGCCGTGAATGTTAAAAATAGACTTCTTCCTTTATCTGGAAGAAGCTTTTGTTCATTGTGTAAATGTTATCCAACTGATGCAGGCCGAGCTAGAGGAGTCTGGTGAACAAGGAGGCTCAGAATATGATGATGCTCGGAGCATAGTTTCAGAGGTTTTTTCCAATCTTCAGAAGTGCAGTTAAAAACTATTGTAAGGATAATGAGTGACAATAAATGGGATCGAAATTTTCATTTTTTAATTCATGTGATTATGCTCACTTGTGTATGAACTGCTGAGATGCTATGATTAGAAGATTGGTTTGTCTCTGAACTCTTTATTAACCATTTTTATTTAAGTGAGGGTGACAGTAATCCATTGATTTACTGGTGTGCTATGTATGCAGATGTTGTGTTAGATTTATTCTCAACCACTACGTCAAGAGATGAAGATTAATAAAATATGAGGTTTTTCCAGAAAAAAGGGCGGTACATATTGAATATGGTGATAGGATCATCTCATTGTGAGTTAGGGCGGTACAATATCTGATTCATAAAATATAACATTCTAACAAAAAAGAAAAAGAAAAATCAAGAAACACAGATAAGGGTGACTTTCACCCTCTCAATGAAGTTTTAATCATCGGATCAATACATACACAGATAAAAAGTGTGCTTTTCATTACACTGAGTTAACAAGAACACCAAGCTTGCATACATAAAACGAAGTATATAACATCAAAATTCCCAACACTTTTCAGATCCAAGAACCCAAATCCCAGTGTTATGCTTTCCAAGCACACCAAAGATTTATGCAAGTTTACAACCATGAATATCAATTAATCACTCTCACATGTCAAAAATGCAGGTGAACACTCCTTTCTCCTCAAGAAATGGAGCTCTCATTCAAAACTGATTTCATAAAATAGCCCTCAGGGGAGGGGAGAGCAAAATGCAGGTGAAAAGTCTCTTCTCCTCCTCAAGAAAGAGACCTCTGATTCGAAACATTTCATAATATTACCATCAATGGTTGAAATTAGCCATAACCATAAGTGAATGACAAACTTGCAACGTCAGTTTCATATAATCAAAATTTTAAAACTCCAGTTTACACATTCAATTAGACGATACAGCTTTTCCATAAAGAATTCCACATGAAGCGCAAGATCAAGCCAAATAACAGACATTTGGTCTTGGAAGGACCAAAGCCAGCAACTATTCCCATAAACAAAGAAGATCAGCTTACCAAATTCCAAGTGAAATCACACATTCTGACTTGTAAGAACAAAATCCAAACCACTATACTGAGACACCAAGAAAACCGGCTCACCGAAATTCCAAGTTAAATACACATTTTCGAAAAATTCCATCTCCGACTTTAGTTCTCGGGCAAATTTCTTTTCGCCCTTTTCGAGCCCTTCTCGGCTATGGCCTTAGCAAAGGCCTCGAGAATCCTCTGCTCCGACTCGAGTATCATCTCAGTCCTCTTCATCTCCATCTCCATCCTCATCTCCTCCACCTGTCGGGCCATGTCCATCTTCACCTTCTCTATTCTCATAAACCCTTCGCCCAACGTGCGAATGGCGGCAGCTAGCTGGCCCACACTCGACTCCCCACCGGAATCCATATTTGGAGTTTCACCTGTTCTTTTTCTGGTATTTGGGAGCTTACTAGAACTGGGACCATTGATGCCGCTGGGGATGAAATTGGTAAACCTAGGGTTTGGGGCTGAGGAGGGTCCCGGGTTGACCCGGCCCGGGATCTTGATCCGGACGCTGGCGGACCCATTGCCGGCTCCCGGAGTTCCCCGATTGGATCTGGGGCGGGTGTAGAGATCGTTGATTCGCTTGACGCTGCTTCTGTTATTGCGGTCGTCTGATGAGGGGGAGGAAGGGGAGGAGGAGGAGGAAGGGGGAGAGGGATTTGGGCCACGCTCCATGGCGTGCATCTGCTGGAAGTGGGCCCAGGAGGAGGAGTGGCGTCGGAGGCCGCCGTGGGCGGCGGCGCGCTGGATCTCGCCGCGGTAGCGCTTGCGAAGCTTCTCCATCTTGTGGCGGCACTGGACGGGGGTCTTCGGTGGGGAGACGGGGCAGAGGGCGGCGACGTCGGCGGCGACGTCCTGCCAGTGGTTGGCGCGGAGGTTGCCGCGGCTGAGGGANATCTGGGGAGATTGTGGTGGTGGGTGGGTGGGGGCATAATGGGGAAGAAAAAAGGAAGGTTGGGCGGCTGAGTTGGAGGATATGAGAGGCCACCGCTAAGGGAGGGAGGCGCTAACGTGCGCCGGGGGAGGTGTGCGGGTGTTGGTTTCTTAACGTGCGCGACCGCCCGAGTCGACGCCGCGTGGGCTTTGGGTGCCTCCTCGTTTCTTTTTTCTTTTCATTTATTTATTTTTTTCCGTTCCCTCTTCACTATTTCCTTTTGTTTGTTTGTGTGTGATAAAATTTTGAAAGTCAAAACCATTATACATAAAATGAGTTAAAATTGGAAAAAAAATTAATGAAGTAGAAATTTGGATTGAATTCATTTTTGTGATGAATATGAGTGAAATGTAAACTGAAATGTTGATATAGATTTAAAAGTAGTAATATAAAAAGTAATTAATTTGAGTAAGATGATAATTTGATTTTAAGTTAAAAATTTGTATCTTATTATTGTCCAAACCAAAAACATTATCTAGCTAGTAAAACAAATTGTATCCAGTCACAAGTCTTTTTGAATAAGGTAATCATTTAAAAATAAAATAAAACTTTATCTATACTATTTTTTATGTTTAATTGTACATAAAATAAAAAAATAAAAAATGTACATGTAAACTTTATATCTCAAATTCTTAATAATATTATATCTCGTCATAATTATTTACCACATATATATATATAGTTTTATTTTAAACAAAAAAGATTTAAAATTCTCGGGTCAAAACTGGCCTGACAAGTGACAAAGATTTGATGAGGGCATAAAAGTAATTAAAGCTCAACCCCTTGACAAAGCCAGCCAGTTTCGTTGAATTTTTCAAACCAAATCATCCAATATTTATTTTTTGTGCCATTTCTTTATTTTTTCTCAACTTAATGTCATTATTCATGATTTTAGGAATGAAAGTTGAATAACAGAAGATATCATCAAACTTATTACATGTTGATTATTCAAGAAAAGCAAATTCCTGGCAAATTTGTCATACATTTTCAATAAAAATTTATATTCGCTAAAAAATATCATAGTTTCAATTATATTATCTTTACATTATGATATTTCGACTTGAATGAATTAATATTTTATTGAAAAAATATGAATTTTCTTGCCATAAAACACACCTAATAATAAATTCACTAGGGATGTTCAATGAATTATCACATAAAAGCAGAGTTTTTTCGTTCTCTTTTGTTTGTCAAAACGTTGTGAACAATATAACTGTCATCCATCCATAGTATTCAAATGGCCACTGTTATTGACCTG